CCCCAAAACCCCAAAACCCCAAAACCCCAAAACCCCTAATAAGAGGTATCAATGAAGTTTACTGAAAATTGTAAATAGTGAATTATGTAATATAATTGTTTAGTGATTAATCTAAGGTTGAATTAATAATTAATCGACCATTACCACCTCAATAAAAATATAACTTTTATATATATTGAATGTTGTTGCTTTAGCATTCTTATTAAGTAGTAGCTGTTGCATACTATGGCTCAGGCTCAGCCCTAAATATATTTGCTATGGGCTTTTATATAATAGGTTCCTCATCGATGCTATTAGTTCTGAAATATGCATCTATTAAGGAGAGTTCATTAGTCATTAGGATCCATTCTTCAAGAGTAAGAACTATCCCCATTGACTAATTGTTCTTGTTGAAAGTTGACTAGAAATCTAAATATATCTAGCCAACATCCTTAAATACTAGAATCTACTTATAAGCCTGCTAATAAATATACTGGATTGCCCCCTGAAAGATTCCTGCTGCCATCTGAGTGGGAAATCCATTCTACTGCACAATTTTATATAACAGGCCAAATTTGTCTTGGAGATGTCTGCATTGATCTATCAATTTATTGACTTAGTCAAGATTCTGATAGAAATTATGCCATTCGTCCAATGACAAATTAAAGATATCACCTTGCTGGTTCTAGATAATGAAAAGTTTTTTGTTAAGCCGGTTGACATATTCCAAAGTTATGCAAGGTCTCTCATTAATTCTTTGAAGCTGTATTTTGTATTTTTAGTAAATCTGTGGCTCCTCTTTTGAGGTTTAATATAAGGATTGATTCATTAAATTATTGTGATTACATTACTTAATCTCTAAAGGAATAGCCATTTACTGTTACTCTTGCTATTGAATCACTAACTGATCAATAGCATCTGTTTGCGTAATAGAATTCTAAAATTTCTTCTGATTTGCCAAAAAGAGCTAATCTTTGGTTTAGCTTGAAAAATCTCGCACATAAGGTTTAGCCTAAATGGATTTATGTTGTTGTTCAATGAGCTATTAAATTGGCAGAATATTTGAATCTTCTTCATTTGAATATGTCACACTAGGCTCATCCTCTTCAAGGTCAAGATTATCGAGGCTTTAAGATTCTTGAAAACCCATTTTACTAGAAATTTAGTATGGCAATGCCCTTATTCTATCATTTCTTTCAATTTACTAGGATAAACCTTGATCTAAGTTATCAAGATTATTTTGAGGTTATGGCTACTCTATATTCGGGGAAACTAAATCCATTCTCATTTTCATATCACTTTAGTCTTCAATTAAGGCTATATTATCACCTGAAAATAGAATGGATTATGGTTAATATTTAAATCTATCTTACCTATTTAGTTTTTTTACTACACATTTTCGACCACTCGAGCTCTTTAGCTAGTTTTATTAACTGCCTTATTTCTCACTTTCATTTCATCTATTTTTTTCCGAGATTCAAGAAAATAATCATTAATTTTTGTGGTGAATTTATTATTTTTGGTGAATTTCATCTGTCTGAGTTCTTTTACCTATGTTCTATTTCTTTTATAATATCTAAAAGCCCTTGCCTCGATTTAGGTTTGAAAATCTTTTCCAGTTTTCATATTTAACTATTAAATAAATAGGATTTACTTATTAAATAATAATGATACATGATTTTATTGTCTATTTATAAAATTGTTCTTCTTTCTTCGATTTTAGTAATATGCTAGATTTCCGGGGTTTTGGGGTTTTGGGG